GAACTTCTCGTTGGGTGCCCCTGTCTTACCTTCACCATTACAGAATTCCTTCAGACCCTGATGCACCAGCTATGTCAGTCTTCTTCAGTCAGAGTAACTAATGGTGCCGCTGTCAGCGATGTTTTTCGCTGCCCCTCCAAACAGTCCTTAGATCCTTTGCTGCAATAACTGAGTCGTACCATTTTTCAGCCCGTTTAGAACATGGACAATTCCAGACCCAAACAAAGTCAAGATGTGCCATACTAGTGTTATAAATACACTGTCCATGGCGTTTACCCGTCTTTCACTTTCTTCCTTTTCTGATCAGCGCAATAAAAGGGGAAAACACTTCGACGTCAATTTGTCTTGTGAGAGATATCATTTTCCCTCAGTTGGCAACTTCATTGTCTTAACTATATCTCAGTTAATATTTGCTAACATGTCAGAGAACGGTCAACCTACATTACGCAGTCAGTTGGTCACTCCCTGTGCAAGGGTGACCGCTTCATTCAGCGTTTGAGTGTATTTGTAAGTTTCTTCTAGGCAGTACCCGGCTAAGCAACCAATATGACTACAGTGGCTCTAGTACTGCTGCCGTTAGGCCCGTAAGTGATTTTGCGCACGAAAGATCATCTTGGGCACCCGGGGGGTGTCCCATATAAAATTGAAGGGGATGCTCATCGGAAAAGTCAAATTAACCCTAGCCTCCAACGCAGGCGTTTTTAGGGGAGAGATGAAAGACGAGCTCCCCTAAAAGCGCCTGCGTGGGAGGCTAAATTAACCCCTGAGGGAGACCAATGTGGGTGTAGCTCAAGCTTAAACTGCCCCTAAGGGAGATTTCTGTGCGGTCACGCGCGAGCAGTCAAACAAAAGGTCTGGAATGAGGTTGAAAACAGAGAGCGAGACTAAAAACTGCTTTAGAATTACTGGATCACAGAATCAAGATTCGAAGCCACACGTGCTATAATGACACGCGAGTGTATCAAATTCACAAAGAGGGCGGAGTTGCGATCAGTTTTTTGATAGCCTGCGAGCAAGCTCTCCTATTTGGGCGAGTAAAGCGAGTCTCGCGAGAACGCGCGAGGGGCCGGCGAAAGGAGAGCTTGCGACCATCCCTTACAAATTTTCATTTGTACTTCGCCCAGACGAAGGGAAATACCATTGGCTGAAAAATGACGTTCCGGAAATCAAAGTTGATTGATAACAGGCTAAGCTGGCACCCGCTTCGTCTGTGTGTCAAGTTTGGTTCTCAGGGGGATCAGATTGGTACCGAGAACTTGTTTCAGCCCTCAAAGCAGACGGGCTCGTTTGATGCAATTCTCGTAGGGAGAATATTGCGAGCCGAGGATAAGTCGGATCTAGTTTGTAGTTCTTGTGGAAGGAAAATGAAAACCCTTCGTCACTGAGTTGTATTCGTTTGTGTCAAGCACCTTGTTTAGTTCTGAAAACCGGGAGAGTGAAAGTGAAAAGTGATTCAAGCGCTGTTTTCCAACATCGGTTTCTTCGCCCGGTTGAATTCTACTGGGTAGAAAAATTCAGACACATGTACTTGACAGTGTAACTGTGTAGCGTGACCGTAAAGAAGGAAAAGAGAAAGAGTTGGAAGCAACTGGAGTAAAACTTAAGAGAACCAAGTGCAGGAAAACGCTATTCTCCAGTTCCAGACGGACAAATATATGATGTTTTTGTTGGTGATTGCGATGGGGAGTAGTCTTCTACACTGCAGTAGGGATGACTTTTCAAAAGTAAACGAAACGAGAATCAAATTAGTGAGTTCTTATCCGAGCGGACACGTTGAAGTTCGATGTCCCCGTGGAAAGAAGACATATAAAAACATTGCTTTGATGCTGTTGCGAAAGCGATTTATAAATAAATAAATAATTCTACGCGTCCTCGCCTGTCGGTTGTCACTTTTCTAATCTGCGGCACGTTTGCGGTGACAGTTTTCACGCTTTGCGGAGTCCCGGGGTTTCCGGGGTGGAAATGAAAATTTATGAGAGATGGTTGCAAGCTCTCCTTTCCTCGGCCCCCTCGCTCGCGCGTTCTCGCGAGGCTCACTTCGCTTACCCAAATAGGAGAGCTTGCTCGCAGGCTA